ACAATGTGTTTATTTTCAGGTCGCAAATGATTACTCTGATGGGCGCTGGATCGCTTTTAATGGTAGCTATGTTGGCAATGTACAATAAAAGAACAACGGTACGTCATAATCCCAGAAGTCAAAGATTAGAAAGCAATTCATACTGCTTAAGATGGCTTTGATCTTTATGTTACTTGGTAAAGCGTGTATCCAAGGGGCATTTAATATTCTGTACATATTCACATCAGAATTGAACCCTACTATCGTCCGAAATAGTGCTGTGGGTATCTCATCGATGGTAAGAAACATTTACATAAGTTCCTTTAGTAAAAAGTTAATTACTCTGCTTTGAGATTGCTCGAATGGGTGCAGGTGCATCTGGTTATATTGCTATTTTATCTGATGTTACGCTTCCCATAGTACCTATGCTCATTTTCTCCGTCTTTTCTCTTTGCGCGGGAATCCTTGTCATGTTCCTTCCCGAAACTCAGGATCAACCATTGCCAGATACAATATGGGTATGTTGAACAAGTACACATTGATTATAATGATTTCAAAGTTTGCCGAATTCTTCCAGGATGCTGTAAGTATGCTCAAAACGAAACAAAAGCCATGCATCCCATTCACAGGTGATGCAACAGACAGCTCACTTCTGAAGGAAAATGAAGTATATCAGCCAGCAGAAAAAACATCAGCAAAATAGCCTACATGTACAAAAATATGGACCAATTAATTACTCAACGGCAAAAAGATGATAGGATCTGTATTCTTGTCGGATTGAGAATTTAAGTAAAAGCGATTATAAGAAGTGTTCTCTATACATATAAATGAGAAAACCTCAAAAATTTCCGACAAAGATGAAGAGCACATATGTTAATCTTAAATCTTTTGATAGTATACATTGAGATGTAAAGAAGTAGAAGTACATAAAAAGTTCTGAAAATAATGGCTAACAAATTACTACTCAACTGAGTACTTACTCATATTTTCTCATCTTGAATTGGCAACTACGTCTGCGACGACTCCACACTGTCAACGCTATCGATTATTGACTCAGACAGTGCCTGAATAGTAGAAACTTGAGAAGCAAGAAGGCAAGAAAAAACAGAGTATAATTTATTAGAAAAAACA